CTACCACTACCACCACCTACTACTACTACTACTACTACTACTACTACTACTATTACTACTACTACTACTACTACGACTGCTACGACTGCTACGACTGCTACTACAACAACTACTACTAATACTGCCAACCTGTTCTGGTACTGGTAGTACTAGTAAGCTGACAAGCTCCACCACGGAGAGCGCATGTCTTCAAGCTAAATGCCAGGTCCATGCCCCGACGTTAAAGTTTGCGTGCAGTCCAGAAGCAGCATGCGAAAAATATCACAGAAAGGGACCATGCAGCTGTTAATGCACCGCAGGGAGGGAGCACATGCAAAGCCCGCCGCGCAACAGCAGCATACGGTGCATGGCCCAAGATTTTAATTTCGTCTCAGGATCGCACATGCGTGGTGCCTGGCCTTAGAAGCAGCGTAGCTCGGAGCTATGTGTCCGTCGCAGGTTATTATAGGGCAACAGTGCCTTTCGCCGACATGCGGATGGCTCGGTTCACCGGCATGTATGTAAAATCTTTGCTCATGTTCAGGTTTCAGTAAGAGTGCGACAGGCCGGTCGTTGTTTCCTCCCAGCATCAGAAGCACACGTTTGCCCTCAAGTGGCCTAGTTGCACGTGGAAGCCCCCTCTGCCGCACGGAGAATATTGAGATTTGGCTTTGCAATCCGGACAGATACGAAGACCTGGCTTGTCAATCAATTGTGATGACTCCGGCGGTCAAATATGAGGGTCAGACGGTCGCCGTCCTAGGCGCAATGGGAGTCGTAGAATAAGTTTAGGTGTGCAGGCTGCAACCCTTGCGTTGGCTTTATCAGGTTGCAAGGAGACACTCAGACGAAAGGGACAGGGTCTCCTCAAGCATGCATGGCAAGAGATGTGCGGACGCGGTCGAGGGGGTGAATTATTGGAGGTCCAAGCCAAGAGCCCTAGATTGTAAACCTTCAAACGAAGCATTTGGAGCCTTCGCCTCAGATAACTTCAGAGCTCCCGGCCGTAACGAGGCTTCTGTTCTTCATGAAGAGTATACTGGCGCGGTCGTTCACACGACCCGATCTTGAATACGATGCAACCCACGAGTTGCTTTAGGCTTGCACCCCACCGAGAGCATCGACTGCAGCAGACTCAGGGCCCTGCTCAAAGGGCACAAAAGCCGAAGCGTCGAAGCCCTCCAACGACTAGGTCCGAAACTAAGACTCTCAAAATCCCTCGCACTCTGCCTGGTGCATGTCTCACCCGCCGGACCTCCGAAACGTTTCCCATTCTTCACAGGTTACATTTCAAGAGCCCCAAAGAGGAGGTGAGGTTAAGGGAGGGAAAGTCATCCAATACGCTGAACCAGGACAACTCTCATACACAAACTCGATCGGGTTTCCGGAGTGTTTGCACTTACACAACTCATGCTTTCAGAACTGAAGATGTCTGGCTGCGGGCTGCGGCGCTAAGTCGACATGCAACATCCTAGATCCCATCTTCTCTTTCAGGCTCGCGACAGGGGCAGAGGTGCGCTGGAAACCAAAGACTCCCGAGGATTTGTCAGCCGTACCGAAATCATTGATTTTGTTTCCAACGCATCTCAACTGGGACGGTCGTTGCGCAATGGAGTCTGCCATAGGCAAAATGCGTTGTACCTCTTGATGGACAGCTTCGAGTTTCTGATTCGAGGGTAACAGGCAGCAGGCCTGCTGCGAAGCGGCAGCACAGTCGGCTGAGGTTGGAGTCCCTCGCATCAAGTAGTGTTGAATCTTTCTGCCTGGATCATCGTTTGCCTTGATTGATGGAAACGTGGGATTCGGGCCATGCCGGCCTTATGATGAGCAAGTTGTTTCTTATGTTCAGGCACAGTCACACTGGCGCTCATCCTCGTGGCAGCATTTCGCTCGTTCAATGGAAGCTTCAAGGTCAAAGTGGCTCCCATCCGAATATTGCATACACTGCTCGCACCCGAATCTTGGCTCTTATTCGGGAGGTTTGTGTTCACCGGGCTGCATCTGCTGCCCATCATGGCGCGCCACTCGTCGGCGCTGCTGAAGGCGGCAGTGGTGGCATGCGCGCTGCTGGCCCTGAACCAGCTGGCTTTCGTGGCGCCGGGCTCCAGCCCAAAGCTACGAGGTCATGAAGCGGCTGTAGCCGGTGCAGTGCTGGCGGGACTCCCGGCCGCACCTGCGCTGGCAACTGATCAGGCGTCAGATGCCATCAGTCAGCAGGATGCGATCCTCATCTTCATTCCGATCATCTTCGTGTGGGTCCTTTTCTTGGACTGGGAGGGCAAGCAGCCATCCGCTGACGATGTGACAGGGTATGGTGCCCTGGGCCCGACTGTGGACGGCCCGACCCCGGACCAGCCTGCATACTTCCGCCGCAGCCCCGAGAACGGATAGGTGTTTTTTCAAGAACCTGAGTGAGAGAAGCCTGACCACCTGTGGAAGTTGGCACTGCCCTCAGAGGAAAAGAAGGTTCGCCTGTTTCTGACAGCTGGTGTGGAGCGTGGCGTAGCACTGGGTCACTAGGTGAAACTCCGCAAAAAAGCTTTTGCAATGATGCTTCTCGGCTCATCTCGGCTCTATGCGACAGCACCCTTCTTCATCCTACATTATCATTAGGACACTAGGATCTCGGGCGCCATGTATGGCCTGAGTGGCCGATGTACACCAGACACTTATGCTTCGGCGACGTCTCGCCACCGACACTCCCCACCGGGGCTACAGACGAGCCGCATTGCGGTAAATGAGTGAAGCGTGCCTTGTGGACCTTCGCACGAGCCACAACATGCTGAGAGCCCTAAGGAGTGAATCCGGCAGGAACCAATAACCCACGACGAAAACCCTAAGGAGAACAAGTTAGATGCCTGTTTTGCCACCCTCGGCAGAGATTTGCTCTTTTCGGAGCCCGAAAAAGTTACAACTCAGTCTTCTTTCTGAAAGAGCTGAAAAGATACGTCCAAGAGAAAAAAGTTACAGCTAAGTGTTCTACCTCCCTGGGATGAGGGCATTCAAGGACTTGCCCCGTCGAAGCTCCCTCAAAGCGAGGCCAGGCAAGCGGACGTTTTTTTTTTTTTTTTTCCGAGGCTTCCACCTTGCATCGAGCTACTTGCAACTCGAAGGGGATGCTGCCCACACTTCATGGTGCAATTGCGACTTTGTTTGCGGTCGTCAGACTGCTACTTTGTTGGTCGTATTTGCTGTGCAGGATCTTTCAGTCAGGTCCTAGCAGCTCTTTGGTCCGAGAGGACGACAGTCGCACTGACCGGGCAGAGAGCCGTTCAAAAAAGATGGGGGCAACATTGATCACGTGAAATATTCATTGATCCTTTGAGTCTTCTGAACTTGTTTGAACATGAGACCGTGTGATGCGGGCAAGGATCGCAATCTTGCTTTGCGTGCTGATGCCTCAAGTTTTTTCCCTGCTAGATCTGTGTGTCTGCAGAGCAAGTTTTTGTGAAGATGGCACGCAATTCCTTTGCCGTGACCGCGGTCGCCGTTTTGGCGGTCGTCGGCGTGGGCAGCTGCTTCCTGAC